CTCCGCCAAAGCGAGTCGAATGATGATAGATGCCAGCACCTTCTGCCCAGCCGAGCAGCGTCCGCGCATGTCCATTTCTGCATCCTGCTTGACCATGCAAACGCGGTAATTATAACTCTTGTTGCTCTTAACCGTTTCGCTCTCACTTCGGATGAGGATCTTGTCCACATCAGTGCCCTGGTATGTCTTGCGCCAGAGCTCCTCGATAATTCGATTAATCTCCTCCATCTTGAGCGAGTGATACTTCATGATGGCCTTGTCAAGAGCTCCACCATATCGCCCGAGATCTTCAATGGCCGCTTTGGTCGTCTCGACGCGCACGTGCGCAGCTTTGTACTTCCCTGCGGCGTGCTTGTAATCGGATTCCCAGTCTTTTTGGTGCTGTTGGATTTGACGATCCAATCCAGTTAATTGACCCACCACAGTAGCCTGTTCGGCAGTCAATTTGTTACGCTCCCGCTGCCAGCGACTAGCATCCTGCTCGTAACGCTCCTTGTCTGCCTCGGGATTGTGCTTCTCCAGCTCGCGAATCTCTGCGGACACTATTTCCAGTTGTCGAAGGTCACGGCGGTAGCGCTGGTTGTCCGATATGCTGCGTTTAGTCTCGGTGTGGTTGCGCAGTTGATCCTCGAGTTTCTTCGCAGTGCCTGCGCATCGTCCTTGTTCGTCGATCAAGCGTTGAACATCAGCCTTGATGTGCTCCGCCTCGCGCCTGCTCTGATCAAGTCTCGCAGCCTCATCCATTTCGCTGTATCTTTGGATCTGTTGATCAGCCACACGGAGTCGGTTCGATGTGTCGCTCAACTTGTTGACCTCGACCTGCAGCTCGCGATCCCTCGCCTCACCACGCCGCGTGACATCTTCGTATTGCGTTTGGGCTGTAGAGAGCGCCGGGCCTAGACTCTGCAGCTCAGATTCGATGGCCTTAATGCTCTCGCGTTGCACGCCATTGAGGCTTTTGTGCTCTTCGATTTGTTCATCGATAGCTTTTTTCTCCTTTAATTGATATTCTGCAGTACTCAGCTTGCTCAAAATGTCCCGATATTCGAGTTCGAGGTTGTTGACCAAAGCTTTGCCTCGATCGCGGCCGTTGATCAGTTCTGCTTGACGTGTTTGCAGTCTCTTTTTCTCATCATTGGTCGACTTCAAATCGTTTTGGATTGCTTCGATTCCTCGGAATGCCCCTGTAAACTTCTGCTGCGCGGAGAGTTCTATAATTTGTGATGAGAACCCAGCAATGTCTGCACTGTGCTTGCCAATGGTTCGAACCGTGCGGACCAGATCTGTGACGTCGCGCTGCTCTGCCTCCATGTCGGCCACAATGCCGTCCTGCTCCTCGAGCTTGGCTATGAGCTCGGCTCGCTGCTCCGCAAGCTTCTTTTCCGTGGACTGCAGCGCAGGGATTTCTTTGATGGACAATCGCTCCCAGGTGTCGAAGTCCGGATTGACAGCCCTGGCTCGCTTTAGCTCCTCTTCAGCTTCCTGTAGCTCGCCAGCATTCGCGACCTTGCTTATTTTCTCCTTTTCCGACTCGAGCGTCCTCACCATCCTCTCGAACTCTTTGTCCTTCAGGGGTCGTAAGCATGTCTTGCAAGCCTTGTGGTCCCTCGCGGTCTTGACACAGGCATCGAAATACTCCAAGAGCATTTTGTACGAATCCGTATCATTCTTAATGTAGTCCCTGCTCACAGCCAATTGTTCCAATTCCTCGAGATAGTCTTCCGGTTTGCAATCAACCGCTTCCTTGATTGCATGTTCCGCGGCTTTCAGAGCTGATTGTTTGGCTTTCAGATCAGTACGACATGAACTCAGTCTGAAGTCGATTTGCTCTTTCTCCCGAGATGTGGCATCTCGGTCACGGCTCGCCTCAGTCACTCGCGTCTCCTTGACTTTGATGGTGCGGTCGTAATCGTTCTCGATAGTTTCAGGTTTCCAGCTCTGACCAAGAATGGCGTTTAGCCTCTCGGTATGTGCGGCAAGCATTGTGTCTAGACGCTGCCGACGATCCTTGAGTTCTTTCTGGACGAGATCTAGCTCGGCCGATTCGCGTGCACGGCGGACGCCCTCAGCCTGTTCCAGACTTAGGCTATCACTGCGCTCCTCTTCAGTCCGAAGTGCATCGAACACGGCCTTGATCTGCGGATCCCAGCCAGCTTGCTCGTATTCCTGCTTTGCATCGTCAAGTCGACCACGCGTGTCGCGAAGTTTGGCATCGAGCGCGCCTCTTCCGCCTTCGTCGATAGTGATGTCTAACAACGCGCTCTGCAGGCTTTCGATCTTGCGATCGCTCGCAACGATGTTCTGTCGGGCGTGCTCCCGGCGCTGGTTTAGAGTACTTCGCTTCTCATTGATCTGATCCAGTACTTTCTGAACCCGCTGAAGCTCCTCCTGAGCCTCTTTCCGAGCCCTTTCGAATGCGGTGTTCTGATCCCGGGCAAGTTTCGAGATTCGGTTCATGAATTCTTGTACTTGAGTCTCATCCAGATCCATATCGAAGCCGCGGATGTTGTGTGAGCGAGCGGCTTCCTTGATAACTGTGGCTCTCTCTTCCAGTTGTCGCTCATGATTTTGCTGTTGCGCTTCACGCACACCGCATTCTCTCTCCTTGGCACTCAACCGCTCCCGCGTCTCCTGCAAGTCTGCCGCGAGCTCTGAATAAACTTCCTTTTGCCTGTCCAGATCATTTTCATATTCATGCACGCGACTTTCGTACTGCTCCAACATGCTTTGCAGCTCCGCATCCGAATCGGCCATCTCCTCCAGATTCTCGCGTAGGCTTTGCACACTCTCTTCTTTGGTGTCTCGCTCGATGCGCTTGCCATTCAGCGTTCCGACGATCAATTCTGCTTCACCGGCTTTCTGCCAAGCTTCCTCCGCCTGCCGCATTGCTTCTGCGACCCGCACTCCGAGTTCCTCATGCCCACTTCTCAATTCCTCGGACTCGGCGTCTAGCTTCAGCATATCGGACTTGCACCGCTTGGCTCTGTCATTGTCCACTTTGGCATGCTCCTCATCTGCTTTGAGCCTGATGAGCTCGGTTTTCTTGTTCTTCTGTAGGATCTTGATGTTATCAATAGCTCTTGTATACTTCAAGGCCTCAAAGATCTCGTCAAATCGCTCCTTTAACTTCTTTGGCTCGGACAGAGGCCAGAGAGCCTCTTCCTGATGGCAAAATATGACACTCTCCAGGATGGCTTTAGACACACCCAAGAATCGAGGCATCATCTGATCCATTTCGGCGGTTCGCGAGCTTAGCGATGTCTTCTCACCATCCCTTACCATCATGATGCTCCCCTCAAGAGTCTTCATGGTACGTGTGTTCTTCTTCACAGTGAGTTGGAGGCTGCGGGTGCACACCATCCTGACTCCTTCGGTGGATCGGAATTGAACTTTGATCTGCGCAAGCACTTCCTTCTCGCCACAAAGATTGGGATCGTGGATAAAGCCACCACCTATTTTGGTGTTCGGCGGCAATTCGCCCGTAGTGATGTATTTGAGACATTCGATGATCGTCGTCTTGCCGGATCCATTCATGCCAACGATGAGGGTCAATGGTGCATAGAATTGAATGGTCATAGGGTGACGATTGTCAAACGACCGCACCCCGAGAATCTGAAGTTTCTCTATCTTCGACATGATAAATGACTTTGAGAGTGGATGTGAGCCTGCTTGGTGAAACTCAGCGGTGGTCGAATCTATTCCTCACGCCAGAATAGCAGGGCTCAGTCGTATGGTATCACCCGCAACCGCACAAGAACTTCTTTGATCGATGGTGCCAGTCGTTGCAATGAAACCATGAGTTACGCATCCGTCCCCGATCCTCTGGGAGCATGAACGACGGTCCGTGATATCAACCGGGTCCAGAACGGCGGTTGCAAACAATTAATACCTACAGCAACGGGATAGAGTAGATGTGAAGAGAGCTAATGCGGGATATCAATAGAGCGCGTCTGATTATCCATGGATTGTAGGGCTGAAGGCAGCCAGCCAGATGCGTAGGCAACTACATCCTTGGTATAACGGTAGATCTAGGTGTAACACGACTCGTTCATCACGTCATCACGTGACTTCAAGTCTGCGGCATTCACCAACATCGAGTGGATAATCAGACATACACAACGGTGCCACAGACTGGATACTGTGACATCTTTGAAAGTACGGGGAGACGCTCTTAATCTAGATAAATCGATATAGAATGGATGACGGGAAGATCAGCGATTGAATCCAACCGATTTTCGTGCGAAACGACGATCTGCTCGACGGCACCACCATCACAATGAGAGCACGTTGCCGATGTGCGATACTCTCTCTTCTCTCGCGTTCTCTCGTCGAACCTCCTGTCACAAAGCGCTCCTTGTATTGTGATGCTTCGAATATCCGATAGGCGTCGTGAGCAAGACATTGATCTTCAGGGCCCATGCCTGACGAACACCAGCACGCATTGTCGGAACTTGGTTCGTATGATATGTCCTCAGGGATCAGCGATGCACTTGTAATACACATTTGAGGCATAGTCAGCGAGACCACGACGAATACCGATACCTCTCAGGGGACCCACTTTTCAGCGAACTTCCTGTCGCTTCAGGAGCTTCGGTCTGAGAAGATGGATGACGTGATGCAAAGCCTCCCAATTGTGTTCAGTGACCTGCCAAGCCACCATGATGCAGTGCCGGGGATCCTCTAATTGCCCAACAAACCTTTGTGTGATCTGCAAATCATCCGGTCACGGATGATGCCTTCATGCTGAAAGTCTCGATATATAGGCCGTGTTGGCGTGAACGTCGAAAGGATTAACCTTAGAATAGCTGTGAAGTGATTCGGTTGGAGTATGAATATTGAGCAGGTAGTGGGTGATGGGCCTCCGGTTGTAGATCCTGCCACATGCGCTCGTGATGTCGCAAAGCGGTCATTGAGACCGGCTGCTGAGCGACAGGTTCCATCTTGACTGTAACAGAACGTAACTCGCGCAACATCTAGCCCGCTTGTTCTCCATTTACGCTTCAATCGGCGTACATCTCGTTCTTGAAATCACGTAGATTCTGCAGGAAGCCATAGCCTCCAGCGGTCGCAGTCTTGGTGATCTTGGACGCCACGGCAGAACCGTCAAATCCTCCATATCTGTAATCCACAAGCCTTGATGGCTGTGAGGATCCCGGCTTCCGCCCTTGCACTACAGTCTTTGCCTTGTCATCGACCATTTTTTGCAATAATTCTACCACCTTTGTTCTAGCCTTCTCTTCCGAAGTACCTTTCCAGACCTCTGCTAACATCCTCATCTCGTATACCTTGGTACTTGAAACTTCCAGACCATCCACGCCTGCAGCCAGTGATGCAGTGATCTCGCTTTGTAGGTTGTCTAAGTATGCCTTTGCCTTTCCGTCCCGATCTGGATCATCCGATCCTGGTGCAGATATAGAGATGATGCCAGATGAGTTCGGCGCAACATCCGAGGCTGCTACGGGCCACTGCATGGCGGACCCGAATATCTTCACCACGGCATCTAAGCGATTGCGGATTGTGGTCAGTGTGCGAAGACGAACAAGGAATTCGGGCTCCGATTCTGCGCCACTTTTCGCAACTGGTGAGGCTGTCATGGCTATTGGTTCGCTGTCTCCTTGATCGCTTTGTCCAGCGTCAATCCCGGCTGTGGTGTCACTCGCGGGGTCCATTTCCGAAGGCTGTGGTGCGGGTGCTAGAAGATCCATGTCCTGCTTGAGTCGGACCGAGATGGCATCGTTCGTGCTCAAGGCTTCGCCGCGGAGAAGTTCAACCTCGTATACCAACTTACCACCGCTGCGAACGATATCATCGGTGAGTCTAGTCAAGCCATTTGACACGCGTGATGTGTGAGCATTGATCTGTGACAGCTGCGTTTGTAGCTGTGAGGCGATGTCCGACAGCAGCGCACCACGGCCCAAGTTGCCACGACTCGCGGAATTGGGAGGGGACAACGCAGGGAGATTCTGATTGAAGTAGTCGGCAGCGTCGAAATCCGATGCAAGAAAGGAAGCGAGGAAGGCGTCCGACACGTGCGGAGACTTTACTTCAATTGTTGGAGGTGCCATTGGAAAAATATCGCTTCATGCATAGAGTTTCCGGATCGCGAAGATCTGATCAGAGGAACTCGACGCTACTGGTATATCTCTCATAGCTGTTCGAGATGCGTGCGTTGAGGTTGGAGCGTCTCTAGGTAGATGTCCTTTCCAGTATGATGTTGGAAGCTCCAGGCTTGTAGGTAATCGTGACTAAGCAGCGTCCGATATCCGCGAGGTTTTGGGGAGAGCTCGTGATGTTTCAAGCCCCGTTGTGCCCCTCGTCTCCAAGGGTAGCCCATCGAAGATTGACCTCCGAATCGAGGACTATCAGAGGTGATCGGCGGCATACATCTGTATTGAGATGATCTCTGGGGTATTTACAGCTACGGACATGCCCAGGGGGCACGTTGCTGAGATTCCGGCATGACGATCAGAAAGCCATGGTAAGGCATCTTTGATCGTTGGGACCTGGAAATGATTCAATTGTCTCGAAAGCCACGGGTATGGACAGAAGATATCAGAATGGAGAATGAGTACACAAGTATAGTACATAATAGGTCGGTGGTACATGAAAGAGATCGAGGCCGCAACAATAGAATTTACATGGAGCTCCCCATAATTAAACCGGGCTTCCAACGTTCTGATTGAGAATTCTGCACAACCACCGAGAGAATCGATAGTTGAGCGCCACCAATACGCCTTCGCCATGCTGAACGGACGATGAAATGCTTACTCTAAATGATCTTGTTTCATCACCGCTTGGCCCACGGAATGGGTTCAATTTTCACATTCGATAGTAGGCTGCTGCTGGAGTTCCAACCCAGCTCAATAGTCGTATGACTGTGCACGCCTTTCGCGTGGCGGGCCGTCGGAGCGGCCGGATCGAGAAAATCCAGAATAGCCGTTGCCGGACGAGCGCGAACTGCCCCCATAGCCAGTTCCCTCGGATCTGAAGCCGCCTGGGCTGCCGCCACTGGACCCGCCGGGAGGTAGTACACCTCGGCCAAAACCAGGACCAACTCTGCCGAAGCCGCCAGCAGGACCTCCGCGCCGGCCGAAATCCCTTGGGCTTCGTCCACTGGATCGCCTCATATCGCTGCCGTCGTCATCAGATGGCTCATGACCAAGGCGTAGGCCAGTCACATTTCTGAATGACGGCAATCTTCTAAGAAGAGAAGGAGACACCATGGGAGGCTCTTCCATGCCCCATCCGTACGTCGCGAGGCGATTCATGTTGTCAACCAGCTGTTGCTTGCGAGGATGCCAGGCGAAAGTGCCAAAGAACGACATAAAAACCTTGACCTTCTCACCGCGAGGAACTTGTTGAATGGCTTTCTGATACGTGGCGAGGAGCTCGCCTTGCTCAGCGGAAATGTCGGCGGCTTGTGTGAGGTCTAGTCGAGCCGTTTCCAATGTATCGTTCGGAACCAGAGGCATCTCGCCAAGCTTGCCGCGTACCTCGCGCGCTTCCATCTCATCAACGAAAAGCCAGCCAGTACCCTCGCGCCCTGCTCGCGCAGTACGTCCGATACGATGAATGTACATCTCTCGACTGGTTGCAAGTCCCATTTGGATGACGTGCGTGACGCCAGGGAAGTCCATGCCTCGTGCGGTGACATCGGACGAAAGGAAGATACCACTTCGGCACCTCTTGAAGTCTTCTGCAGCCCTCGTACGCTGCATTTGTGATAGGCGGGAATGGATGAGAAAGGTCTTGGCCGGCAGTAACGGACTGCGGCCGGATCTATCCTCGAGCGCGCGGAAGAGACTGTAGTACAGGGAGACCTCCGCAGCACTATTGAAGTAAACCATGGCTTTGAAGGGTGGCTTTGATGGGTCGTTCTCTGATTGCATGATCTCGCGTTGGCAGAGCTCGAAGAGTGCTGGCGCGGCATTCTCAAAGCCCTTCAGTTTCACTATATTCTGCGGCACGCGAGCGTGAGTGGGCGCTTCATCGTCGCGAATGGTCCTGACAAATTTAAACCCTTTCTTGAGCGTCTGCCGTGCTAGCGTGATGACATCCTGAGACATGGTAGCAGAGAACATCAACGTCTGTCGGGGTTTTTGGGCAGGCGACGGTAGCAACTGCATGATTCCCTGGATCTCCGGCCAGAAGCCCTGGTCGAGTAATCTGTCTGCCTCATCGAATACCAGAGCATTGAGATCAGGTGCTTCCACACGCGAGTAGGGATCTGAAAGAATATCCTTAAGTCGCCCGGGAGTCCCGACCAGAATGTGACAACCTTGCTGCTGAATATCCCGCATTCCCTGTCTCTTCATTGTGCCACCCACTGCAGTTTGCACGATGATTCCTGTCGATTTAACAAGCTTCCTTGCTTCATCTGCGATCTGCTCCGCTAGTTCCCTCGTTGGCGAGATGATAAGGGCCCGAATGTCATCAGCCGTTGTCCGCGGTCCGCGACGTCCGTGAGAAGACTTCGCGAGATAGGGGTCCTTTTCGATGATATTCTGCAAAACCGGTAGCAGGAAAGCAATCGTCTTGCCCGTTCCCGTCTTGGCCTGAGCGATTATGTCTGTGCCGCGCAGCGCCTCATGAAGCGTAGCGGATTGAACCTCTGTCATGGTCTCCAGACCCATGCCGCGCGTGATTGTATTCACGACGGTCGGGTGAACCAGACCCCTGGTCTCCAGTTCCGCGAACTTGGAAACCACCTGTGCATCTGAATCTTCTTTGGCTTGGTCTCTGCCGTCGGCTGATTCTGCCGCATCCTTTCGTAATGATGTTGAATGAAAGTCTCGTGTCGCAACGGTATGCGAAGCGATGGCTGCCCTCGTGATGCTATTGAAACGAATGGGTCGATGCGCTGAGATGGGTAGGTCACCAATGATACTTGGGCGAATCTGCGGGACAGTGGCGATACATCGCTGGAAAGCGCGACGCATCGTCGGAAATTGTCTTAAAGAGCGTGAGAGGGCGATGACAGTTGTGTTTTGATGCGATTCACAAGATGCTTAGTTGGTAAACAGAATTGCTGGACAGGATCGATGAAAGGATTAAACGATGGTTGTACAAGTATATACAGTGATTGAATGGCAGAGTAATTACAATCTCCTATCGGGACTTTTTTTTGGTGACGAAGGATATCAGCGCCCACGCGCGGAAGGGAGAGTACGACGGGTCGGGCCGCCATAGACGTCTCCTCCGCGTGAATGTATTATTCCGGTGACAATAGGGTTACAGACTTGTTCTTGTAGGATGACTCGCAGTTGCATACCTAGGTAGTCCTTCTCCGCTTTTCAGGCGGATTCCAAATGGACCCGATTACAAAATACCACAGCTAATTGCTCGCATAGCATCGTCGACGATCATATAGCATTTCCTTCGACATGAAGACGGAATCATCGGGCGATTTAAGGTTTGTACTTCCACTCTTCACGTCGGAATGCGACCTCGAATTCAACCTGCACAACGGATCAGCATGTGGTTGAACAGCCACCCAGAGTTTCTGTTGCATTTCACTTACCTGGCCAAAAATTCCTACGGCCGCCAATAAATCATGTTCACCTTCAAGGCCGGTGATGTTTCCTGCATCGAATTCACGATCGCGCTCTTCATGTAAATCCCATCCGCCGTCACGCTGTCCGTTGCGTGTGAAGAAGACGTCCGCACGCATGCTGACGGTATCGCCGTGGACGGGTGGCTTGAAGTTCATGCCGATGCCCACAACATCGCCCTTCTGAAAGGCCCGTGTAAAATCGAAGCCGCCATCGCTGTTGTCAACGTAGCGTCGGCCGTCGTCACCATGCACTCCCAGAGAAGCGCGATGCCAGCCTGGGAGACGCCAAGCAGGATAAGGTGGAGCTACAAAGCCAATGGCAATGCCAGAATCAACTTCCACGTTGTGCGGATTCTGGTTGTAGCGGTCTCCAACGCTGATGACATGTAGTTCAAAATAGATCGTTTCGGGTCGGCCGGTTACCATAGGCGAATGGTGTTGAGACGCGAAGACCGGCAGATCGGACAGGAGTATGGTGTCATTAACAGATCTGAACGTGCGGATATAAGTCTTTCCCATTGCAGGCTGATAGTTCGTAATATCCGACGTCTCGGGTGGAAGGGTCAGACTGAGGTCGCCATGCCGGATACGCTCGAGATGCTGGGGCGAATGGTGAGTAGAATGGAAGAGAGGTACATGGGCGCACCACGCGTGCGCACGCTTTGCGTCGTCAGCCGAGGCGTTAGCCGTCGGGCTTCTCATATTCTTGGGATTGATGCTATCGAACGAGGGTGGTAAACGGAGTGTGTCATCAGGTCCGCCGTGCCATGGATCATATTCTGGTGGCTCGACATCTTGTTCCTTCATCTTTACGTTCTCATGAGATGGCGGTGGACCAGGCGGCGCATTATACTGCTGCTGGCCGGAATCATAGCCTGGTGGCGGTCCCGGTGGTGGGGCGAAGGTGTCACTAGCATCGTCCATGTTTTCATCTTTAATTTGCCGCCAACCGGGAGGAGGCCCTGGAGGAGGATCGTATTCTGGGGTGGCAATCGTGGCATTGCTAGAAGATGGTCGAGCCGCAGCATCATTCGTGGGGGTGTTGTTGACACGGAAGGGATTGTTGGATGCCAAATTCTCACGAGCAAGACTGTTCGAGTTCGCGTTCGGATTTGCATTCCTCGAGGTGTGAGGGCCGGTGAAATGCTGTTGTTGTACGGGTGCTGCCCGATGCGCGCCTGGAGGAGGAGTCTGAGGCTCTCGCTTCATGCTTAGCTAGCTAGGTATGTTTTCGAGGAAAGGATATAGTGGCCGCAGTGAAGGACCCTGATCTCGAGTGGTGTTCTCTGTGCTTGCGATGGGCCCCGCGAAAGATATCAGGCGTGTGAAACGAGTGCCTGCGGTGGGGAAGGAGAGATTTGTGCTTGTCCTTGATGCTGAGCGTGCTGCGAATTCGATGTAGCCTAGGACCAAAGGACTGCTGCGACCGAGCGAAAGAAAAGTTGGGCCAGTGATGGCGGTATTTATGTCTGCGGAACGACTAACTTGGAAGACAATCGCAATCCATCCGGCGCAAGAATGTACAGCGGCTGGCCAATAGACGACGCCTTATGTTACACAAACCGAGGCGCGCACGCTATGATGTGACGATGTGTGCTGAGTGCTGATAAGTAGGTGCCTCACTTTGCAGTGTTCTGAATGGTCGCTCTCGAGCTTTATAATACGGATTATGATGTTCCAGTGTTGAGTATATGTCCGGCACAAACAATAGGCACTACCTTGACACCTGCAGCTTTCGACGTTACATCTAGTACGACTTGACATCTGGTTGCTCGGAACTTTCGCCCCACTATGATGATTATTAAGGTCCGGGACATGTCTAGTATGTCTGACGTCAAGTCGCTTCGGTATCGCGCTTATGCTTTAAAAGCGGAGCTTAAAGTCTATAGGGTTACGTCTACTAAATCGGTTATACCATCTCTTTCTATAAAACAGAATCTAAGTAGTTCTATACTAGAGCATTTAAGATAAAATTATAGATAAACTACTCTATAATTATAATATAGTAAGGATGAATTCTATAAATAATACATTCCTCTAATTATAAATCTATTAAACTAAATAAATATAAGACTAGCTTTATCAGCTGTAGTAATTATAATTATCTATTACGACTTAGATAGTTAGTAGTTGTAAGTAAGTATAGCTTATAATAAGAAGGCAATTTTTTACCCTATATACTTAGAGAGTACTTCAATACTAATAGCTTATTATACTTTAATAAGAAATAATAATAAAAAAGATTTAAAGTAGATATATTATTATAGAAATCTATATTTAGTAAATTTATTAAAAGTCTAGCTTTAAATAACTAGGAATTATATATAATTTTAGACTAACTATATTAAAGAGTAAAAAGAGTATAGATATATAAATAGCTTTTAATAGAGTAACAAAGAGTAAGCTTAAAAATTAAGGTCCTCTAGCTTTCTAAATCTATATCTAAAAAGTAGTAGACACTATTAGAAATTGTATATCTTTTAACTTCTTTCTTTTTAGACTTTTTTTATCTAACGTAATCCATCAGCGAGCCGGCCACACCACCGAACCCGCCACTTTTCCTTGGCATTGTAAACATCATCTTTCCTTTATAATATCTCAACAACAAGACATGTTATTAGATAATCAAGAAGGCAGAATCGAGCTTGCTATTAATGCCTACAGATCTGGTCAATTTCGGAGCCAACGGAGCGCAGCTGCAGCTTTTGGTGTTCAACATCAGAAACTCTCTACAAGACTGAATAGAACTAGCTCTCGCGCCACTATGGTTCCAAACTGTCGAAATCTCACGCCAACAGAAGAAGAGACGCTTAAGCGACATATCCTCGACCTTGACGCGCGAGGATTTGCGCCCCTACTCTCTGAGGTAGCAGATATGGCAAACAAAC